TAATTTTTCATTTATTTTGTCATTTTGTTCTTGTGTTGTCTTTTGAAATCATTCTAGGGTTTTGTCTGTGTTTTCCTTGATCTGTCTCTCAATTCGTTGAAGATACTTAAATATAATTCTTTTGAATTCCTTATCAGGGAGTTCCAATGCTGCATCTTCCTCAGGGATGTGTTTTGGGTCTGTGTACTGGTCCTTTGTTTCTCCTGCATTATCTTGCTTCTTTGTGTGGACTGTGATGTTCTGTTGTCTCGAGGCATTGTGATGTTTTTGTGTTTATATTTAATTGGTGATTGTACGTTGGAGTGATTTGCCCATGTTTTTTGTTTTCTTTGTTTTGTTTATATGCTATCTATGTAAGCAGGGTACTGTGCTCCTCTATTTGCTAGTTGACAGCACTTATACACTCACCACCTGTCTCCTTTTGTGTTGTCAGCCTCTCGTATGTCCCTGCCGACCTTGGCAAATAGAGCCTATTCTTAGGTCACTGGAATCTGAATGAGAGTGCTATCACTTTAAAATCCAAAATGGTTACCTCTTGTAAGGATTCAAAATGGCTGTGCCCTTGGTCACTTTAAATATGCAAAATGGCCACTGCTTGTTAAACATTCAAAATGGTTGTACCCTCAGTCACTTTAAGTACCCAAAATGGCTGCCACTTAGAAACATTCAAAATGGCTGCATCCTTGGTCACTTTAAATATCCAAAATGGCTGTCACGTGTAAACAATCAAAATGGCTGTGCCCTCCGGACAGCAGAAAGTCAACTGCTCAGGTTGTCTCCCTCCTTGCTGTTTCCCTTCCGAGTCATAGGCCACCAGTGTAGTCATCCCTGCAGCCCTTGGTGACCAGGGCTGATCTTTAGGTCAATTCTCAGGTCCCAACACCACTTGGAAATATTCAGGCTGTTGGTCCTGTCAGAGTAGCTGACAGTCTGCAGTTCTGACCGTCTCTGTACTCACTATTTACCTTCAGGTTTTTCCACTAGTTGGTGCCTAATCCACTTCTGTATAGTTCCTTTCAAAGCTCAGGGCTCTTTTGTATTTCTGTCAATTGGTTTTTCTTTTCTTTGTTGAAGAGGGTCTGTGTTGCTTGTCTGCCTATTCCTCCATCTTACCGGAAGTCCCTACACTTAATATTTTAAGTGCACAAATTTGCACTTAAAATATAGTTAAACCTAGATTGATTTGTAGGTTTGTTTTAAACATGGGATTTTTAAATTACGATGTTTACTGAAGGTCTTTTCTTGCTGACAAGACATCAGAAATATGGCAGTTTTTCTAAGAGGTTTATTATGATCATTGTTTCTATAGAAAATCTTGGTTTTGAACTTGTTAATTATATGTTAATTCCTTGTAAGAGAATTATGTTTGCAGCTGTTAAGTCACCTCAAGCCTCTCTCTTTTGCTTAGAGCGCACACACACACACACACTCACTCACTTACACAGGCCAGGCTCACTATCATACTCATCTGTGCTGCTGTGCTGCAGCAAAATTTAGTGTTGCATATGGATAAATGTTGAGGACATAGCGGGAGGAAAGAATAAGCTGTTACCCAGCTCATGAGGAAATTCTTCTGCAGTTTTTCAGGAAGTCACAAGATGGAAATTTAACAAGGGAAAATAGAAACAAGATTTTTGGATGATGTAGTACATTCATACAAAGAATATTCTTAGTGTTGTTGTCATATCAGAGGTTTTTTTTGTTTTTAAGGTATGTGCATCATTAATAAATAAATCAAAGTTTACAATATACCCATGGGATATTTTTCTCGTATACCTTACAAAAGATGCTTATATGTCTGGTAGTATGTCTGACTTTGATACATTACAAATCTTGAAAGCACTGAATGACTATATTTCTTTTTTGTTTTTTAAATGCAGTTTATTGAAATATAATGTATGTAGAGTGAAATACACAAAACTAAAGTGACATGGGTCAATGCATTTTTTTTTGCAGTGTTCCCTCCCCTCCCCTCCCACCCCTGGCAATCAACAAAGAAAGTTTCCCTCCATATATAAACCTTTCCTTGACCCTCCATAACAATGAACTAATACTATATATGTCCTTCTGTGATCAACTTATTTCACTCAGCATAATATCTTCCAAGTTCATCCATATTATGTGGTGTTTTGCAGATTCTGCATTATTCTTTAGTGTGCTGCATAGCATTCCAGTATGTGTATGTACCATAGTTTGGTCATCCACTCTTCCGCTGATGGGCCCATAGGTTGTTTCCATCTTTTTTGCTATTGTAAATAGTGCTGTGATGAACATGCGCATGCATGTATCTGTTCCTATCCTGGCTCTCACCTCTCTAGGATATATACCTAGTAATGGGATTGCTGGGTCAAATGGTACCTCTAATTCCAACTTTCTAAGGAATCTCCATATTGCTTTCCACAGTGGTTGTGCCACTTCACAATCACACAAGCAGTGTATGAGAGTCCCAGTCTCTCCACATCCTCACCAGCATTTGTTATTTTCTGTCTCAATGAACCTTGCCATCAGTGCTGGAGTGAGTATATCTCATTGTTGTTCTGATTTACCTCTCTCTGATGGCCAATGATTGTGAGCATCTTTTCAAGTATTAGCTGACCACCTGAATATCTTCCTTGGTAAAGTGTCTATTCATGGCTTCTGCCCGTTTTTCAGTTGGATTGTTAATTCATTTGGTGTTGAGCCATTGGAGTTTTTCCATCAATCTTAGAAATAAGTCCCTTGCCAGATATGTAATTATCAGCAATTATGAATTTGTTGCTGTCATTTTTGTCATGTGCTTTTTCATTGTGTTAATTTCTTTGTTCCATACAATTTTTTATTCTGAGCTCGTTTTGTTTATGAATCATGTTATCACTTCCTTCATTGCTATTGTTTTAGTATTTGCTGAATATTTATGTTGATCCTCCTTTTTATTTTGATGTGAAGGTTTATCACTTTTCTCTGGGGTTACCCTGTGATTTATAGTTTTCTTCCCAAGTTTAGAACAGTCCGTTCTATCTTGTAGTTGTCTTGACTTCCCTACCATCTAGAAGTTCTGTAACAACACAGATTTTTTTCTCTCTTTTTGGTTTGTAGTTGTCCTCATTTGTCGGTTGGTGTCTCTGGTTCCCTGTTTACAGTCTTGTAGGCTTATTTACTTTGGATGCTTCCATAGCTGGGTTGGTTTCTGGGTTATATCATCACGTGTGTTAATGGTCAGTTGTTGTCTGTTGTTGCTTCTCTGTCCAAAGGGCTCCCTTTAACATTTCTTGTACGGTTGATCTGGTTTTAACAAATTCCCTTAATTTCTGCTTATCTGGAAATGTCCTAATTTCACCATCATATTTGAGGGACAGTTTTACTGTGTACATAATTCTTGGTTGGAAATTTTTCTCTTTCAGGGTTTTATATATACCATCCCATTGTTTTCTCATCTGCACGGTTTCTGCCAAGAAATCCAAGCTTAATCTTATTGGTTGCCCCTTGTAGGTAACTTTTCATTTTTGCCGTGCTATTCTCACGATTCTTTCTTTGTCTTTGGTTTTGGTGAGTTTGATGATGATATGCCTGAGTGATTTTCTTTTGGGGTGTATCCTGTTTGGGGTTCATTGGACTTCCTGAATGGATATATTTTCATCTTTCATCATACCAGGAAAATTTTCTTCCAACAAATCTTTGACAAGTTTCTCTGTGGTTTTATTTGTGTCTTCCTGTTTTAGAATTCCGATGACACGTAAGTTATTCCTTTTGATGGTATCCCACACAAACCTTAGGCGTTCTACATTTTGTTTTGCTCTTTTTTCTGATTTATCCCTTTCCAAAGAAGTGTTCAGATATTTGCCTTCAGTCTACCTAATTCTTTCTCCCATTGATTCAATTCTGCTCTTTTGCCCATTCAATGTCTTATCTATTTCTGAAAATTTAGTATTAATCTTCTGGATTTCTGTCTGTAGATTTTGTATCATTTCTAATTTTTCATTTATTTTGTCATTTTGTCCTTGCATTTTCTTCCAAAATTCTTCTAAGATTTTGTTTGTGTTTTCCTTGATTTGTCTCTCAATCCTTTGAAGATACCTAAATATAATTCCTTTGAATTCCTTATCAGGGAGTTGAATGCTGCATCTTCCTCAGGGAAGTGTTTTGGGTTTGTATCATAGTCCCTTGTTTCTCCTGCTCTATCTTGCTTCTTTGTGTGGACTGTGATGCTGTGTTGTCTCTGAAGCATTGTGACGTTTTTGTGTTTATATTTAATTGGTGATTATATGTTGGAGCGACTTGCCCACGATTTTTGTTTTCTTTGTTTTGTTTATATGTTATCCATACAGGTACTGTGCTGTGCTCCTCTATTTACTAGCTGACAGCACTTATACACTCACCACCTGTCTCCTTTCCTTTGTCAGCCTCTTGTATGTCCTTGCCAATCCTGGCAAATAGAGCCTGTTCTTAGGTCCTCTTTTCGATCAGGTTTTTCCACTAGTTGGTGCCTAATCCACTTCTGTATAGTTCCTCCCAAAGGTCAGGGTTCCAGGGTTATCTTCTGTATCTCTGTCAATTGGTTTTTCTTTTCTTTGTTGAAGAGAGTTTGTGTTGTTTGTCTGCCTATTCCTCCATCTTACTGGAAGTCCTGAATGACTATATTTCTGAGACATAATTTAATATTAATTTATTTTTTTCTCTCCAAAGAGCTAGAGATAAAAGACTTGGACCTGGCATGCTAGTCCTTACACCTACTAGAGAATTAGCTCTTCAAGTGGAAGCTGAGTGTTCTAAATATTCATATAAAGGTCTTAAAAGGTAAATAATTTCTTTGACCATTCTTGTACCAGCGTTACATTGTTGTAATCATTGTAGCTTTACACATCCTCTCCATTTGGAAAAGCTGATTGGCCTAGCTTGGGTTAGGTATTTATTCTTAATGATAATGATAAAACCATGCCTTTTTAGGGCCCTACCCTGTGGGTTGATAATTGCAGACAGTTCTCAGAAAGGGGCAGACATGACCAAAAGTTTCCTCTCTAAGCTTTTTATATGTTTTACTGTTTATCTTATTGTATATCTTATTGTATACCCAAAATGCTTACATTTGTATGAACATGAACTTTGTATTTTTTTGTTGTTGTCATTAAGTGTTTGTATATATGGTGGTGGAGATAGAGATGGACAAATACAAAACCTTACAAAAGGCGTAGATATCATTATTGCAACTCCCGGAAGATTGAATGATCTGCAAATGAATAACTTTGTCAACCTGAAAAGCATAACCTACTTGGTAATTATGGAGTTTGGGATGATGGGAGAAAGAAGAACTAAAGTTTTATTAAAATAGTTGTTTAGAATGGCAGCCCATTTTATAATGGTTTTAGATTCTAGGAATATTTCCCATTCCTTTTAGCATGTTAAAATTAGGATTTTAGAGAGAATTTTATTTTAAAAATGATAACACCGTTTGTTTTAGAAATTTTAGAAAATGTACAAACACAAAGGAAAATTAAAATCCATTTGGGCATTTTAGACATTGGAATTTTTTTCATTAAATAGATTTAGTAACTATTGTTTAAAAAACCCACAAAACTCACTGACATTGAGTTCATTCTGATTCATAACAACCTCCTTTGGGTTTCCAAAGCTGTAAATGCTTATGAAAGCAGACTGCCTCATCTTTCTTTTGCAGGGAGACTGGTGGGTTTGAACCACTGGCCTTTTGGTTAGCAGCCAAATGCCTTAACCATTGTACCACGAGAGCTCCTTTAACTATTGGTTAGTCAGCTAAATAAAATAAATCTGTGTTATTTAAAACTACAGATGGCTTAGTTGACCTCTGTGGAGAAATAAACCAGAAGACAAATTATGTTTTTTTTTTTTTTTTAATTTTTAAATGAGCTTTTCTTAAACAATGGGGCTACTAAAGAAGTGCTAGGAAGCTTGAACTTTGGAACTAAAGAAGCCTAAATTTTAACTCTGCTGATTATCATCTGTGCGAGCAGGACAATGGGAAGTTTATTCAATTTATCTGTAGCTTAGGTATCAGGGGAAATGAGAAAACCTACTTTTAGTGTTCTATTCATAAAAAGAGAGCATAATAATCTAGGCACATTCTTCATTTTTAATACAGGTTTTAGATGAAGCAGACAAGATGCTAGACATGGGATTTGAACCCCAGATAATGAAGATTTTGTTAGATGTGCGTCCAGACAGGCAGACTATTATGACAAGGTAGGTATATACCTAATTACTATCTGTGAAACAGAAATCTATGGAACAGGATTCCATTTTGCTTGGTTGATTTCTGATAAAATTTTCTAGCATTACTTGAAAGTTTTTTTTTTTTTTAATTTTTGTTATTTGGGTGAAAATGTACAGAGCAAATTCATTTTCCATACAGCACTTCATACACTTTTTGTTTCATGACATTGACTGCAATTTCCCACAGTGTAACTAACAGATCTCTTCTCACTTCCTCCCTGTGGTTACCTCTTCCCCATGTCCTTCTTCCCTATGCATTCCTGCCCCTTGAGCTATCTCCATGTGCAAATACTGCCCTTCAGTTCTCCCGTGACTGATTGTTCTAAGAAGTATCAAGCTCACTGCCATTGAGTCATTTCTGACTCATAGCGACCCCCATTGGGTTTCTGAGGTTGTAAATCTTTACGGAAGTAGATCACCCCATCTTCCTTCTATGGAGCGGTTGGTGGGTTTGAACTACTGATCTTCCATTTAGTAGTCAAGTGCCTTATCCACTACGCCACTGCACTCCTTTCTAAGGAATATGTTGTTGTTGTTGTTATGTGCCGTCGAGTCAAACCTGACTCATAGCGACCCCTCCTTGGGTTTCCGAGGCAGTAT